GGTTCCACGACAGTGGGGGAGGAAAAAAAATCTGCGGCCAGTGGCGTCTTTAATGAAATCTGTGCCTACATTAGCACGTTTTTGCACGACAACAGGTGCACTAAAAATACACCCGCAGCGAAGACCAGTAAAAGTGTCGTTGTCATGATATTCTTTCTGTTCTTCTGCATGTCCTAGTAAAGGCATTTCGGTGAAGAACCAATCAAAGCGGGGTTTATAACATCCAAATCTGATGTCAAACTCTTCTCCTGGGTATGGTTTACCAATACAAGTGTTTCAAACTACACAGATAAACACATTTTTACAATTTATTTTTTAACCACGGATGTTATATTTTTATACCTCAGAGGAGTCATTGCTGTTTGCAACGATCTAACCTGTCGAAGGAGAAGACATCAGACGATACGTTCCAGACTTTTGATACTGTTACAGTTTACTAATGCCGTTTCAAGTCACAACTACTGTTCCCGCCGTTTAGCATCTCTGAAAGTTATAGTTTTGCTGGTTTCTCATTTCCCGTGTGTCGCAATAGCAAAAAAAAAAAAAAAAAGACTTAGAAAGAACAGAACCATTGTTTGCGTTCCTTAAAAACAAAAACTACTGATCCTGCACTTTCCCAAAAAAAGCAAACATGTACTGTCTGCTGATCTTATTGTGATCTTCCAAATTGACATCTGCTCACTTCAATTGTCAGCCAAAGACATGCCAAATCCTGAATTGGGCCAAAATAAGTTTCAATGGCCTGTCTTTCAAACACAAGTACCATTAAAAAAACCAAAACAGAACAAGAAAACACTATGCTGGTGGTGACTATCAATCCGAACCGGGGCATTACAGTTTTAAACGAATACAGTAGCCCTCTTGTATTGGATCTCATTAGATAATCTTGGAGCACACTAAAGAACATAACGTGTCGTGGGGAAACAAACATCTTCTCCCTCATGTCGTTTGACAAGCAGACGGTCGTACAAAGCGTCCTGGTGACAAATGAGGGCGCCCTTCAACGACCCTGCCGGTGGCACGGGAAGCTTGCCCCTGCCGCGTCGTGCAAATTCACGGAATAATCATTACGCCGGAGAGCCGCCGGGAATTAATAAAGTTGCAAATTGACTGTCTCCATTCAGGTCACAGCACGCTTGCCTGTGTCACTGTGGATGTGTGTGTGGAGGGAAGACGACAGAGGTTCTAAATCGGTTTGTTTACGCCAAGATGCTTTCCCCCGGAGTTGAGGCCTGCCATATTAACTCCCCCCCCCACCCCCCATCTAAAATAATGCAAAGTCATTCCAGTATGTTTTGTGTTGCCATCATCAAAACCTTTTATAACCCTTCCCGTGTGTTTGTTTCTTTGGTAAACCAAAAATGCTCATGGGTCAGTGTGACCTGCTGCATATCTATCATCATTCAAAACTAAATAAATCAATAAATGCCGAGCGACAAAACAAAATACACCACCACACCGTGACAACCAGTCCAGTCATTATTCAGAGTCAATTGCTTAGTCTTGATTTGGACACGATCTTGGCTCCCCAAAGTCTTCATCTTGACTTGGTCTCAACCCCTCCATCATGATCATGATGTGGCCTCGGCCCCTCAAGTTCTTGGTCATGACTTGGTCTCTACTGCTTTAAGTCTTAGGGCCAAATTTTCTTGCCCAGCGCAAGTCTAGTGCAAAGTGCAGTCTTACTGTGCGCATGGGAGAAGCTTTCTTTCTTAGACTTGCACAGGTAGAAGTGGGCGTCATGCACCATTGTGGGATGGAACACAGCCGACTCCAGACCAAATTCACAAACACGGTTAGCTAGCCTTGCACCGGCACGAAAATGAAAATGCTCTTGTTTTTACACTGACTGCATGTGCACCCGTCGACCAAAATAAGGCCCCACGCAGAGGGGGAGTGTAGTAAAAAAATGCGCTGGGTCTGTCCAAATGCCCAGCAAGGCACAACACAGTCTGCCAAATTCCCAAACCCCTTCGTCTTGTCTGGTCTAAAGCCCTCAATTTCTTGATCTTTTATTGATCTTTTAACACCTTTGAATCTGTCTTACCCATTTCTGCTTTGTTTTTCTTCTTCTAAATGTGTTTGTTTGAAATCATGTATGCTTGGCTTTAAAGTGTACATTTTATCCCGTGTTTTAAACTCTTGTAAAGTGTCTTTGAGTACAATGAAAAGCGCTTTCAAAATTAAATGTGTTATTATTATTAGTATTGTTATTATTATTATTATGTTGTGGGAAAGGCGGCCTCCTCTTCCCCGCGTGTTTGTTGAATTTCGGACGAGGAGAATGTTGGTAATCCAAATAAAGGCTGGAGGCGATGTACAGTTCCTTCGAAGGGTTTAATTTATTTTTCTGCAGTTTACGAATCGATTCGGGCTCCTGAGGGGTCCAGATTTGAATCAGGAAGCGTAGAAGAAACACATTCATGAGATTATATAGAGACAATATGATAATGAGAGGCGGTTAGGTACGCCTCTCATGAAAATCCCGGAAACAAAGAAAGTAACATGACATCTGACCCGGTGTGGCTGGAAGAAGGTGGGAGTGGTGAGGTGAGACCAAACGACCACTACCCACCATTTGGTGTGATGGCAAGTTCCAGAACCCCCGCTGTGCATACATCCTGAGATAAGAGGTCTTCCCAGGGGGGCTTAACAGCGATCAGGGACCGACAATAGCTGTAACACAAATACTTGAGATAACAGTTCCTCTTTTGATGTTGACATGTCCTCTGGAGAGGTCATAAAAGTAATGGGGGTGAGGGGGCACCAGAGGTGATTGTAATCACAGTTAGCAGGAAATACCTTCAACAGCATTCTACATTGTTTCTTTCAAGTGTCTGAAAAAGACACAACTAACAGAGAGGAACGACACCTTAAGAAGAGAGGAATAGTACAGAAGAGAAGGAATGATACTTTAACAATCAAATCTAACTAAGAAGAGAGGAATGATCCTGTATCCTAACAAGAGGAATGATACTGTATCCTAACAATCCCTCTCTTGATCACAATCAATATTGTGATCACAAAACCATCTACTATAAAAACCAAGTCAACCCAGGAAAGGAGGAATGAGACTGGATTTTAACAATTATTATGATGATTTATTTATTTATTTTTTCTCCTCCCTTAAAGTCTTGGTCTAAATCTCTTCAAGGTTTCTTCAGAACTTGGACTGAAACCACTAGGTTCTTGATGTTTTCCCAGTTCCTTCACGTCCTGGTCTTCACTTGATCTTGAGCCTGCAAAGTTCTGATCTCAATCCCCCAAAATCCTCATCTTGACTTGATTTCTGCTCCGAAAGCTTGCCTTGGTCCCAGGCACTCAATGTCTCGGTCTGAGTCACTCAAAGTCTTGGTCTTGACTTATTCTCAACTGCCACAGACTAGGTCTTGAGTTGGTCTGAACACCTCAGGGAAATTCTGCAGACCCCTCTTCAAAACTTTGCTAAATAGTTTTGTAACTGTGGGAGAACACTATTGATTATGAACAACTTCCACCCAAAGGATTTGCTCATGTCAATGGTTAAAAATGCGGATATTGATAGTTTCAACACGTGTCAACATTCCAAGCAAGAACCCAATTTATTTCAGAGATTTCTACATATCCAAGGTTACTTTCTGGTATTATTTTGGAGACCGTTTTCTAGTTCATGGAATAAAATTTGTGTGCACTCACTGAAAACTTAAACGTCTTTGAAAGAGAAGGCTTTTACTTTCCAAAGTAGTAATCAGAGAACATTAAATAATTCATGAACTTCCATGTGGGGGTATGTCTATTTGTGTAGTGTGCTATGTTTTGCCACAAAAACAAAATTCGGATTGCATTAAAGCAAATACGTGTCTTCTCTTATCTGTAATCATAAAAACAACAAATCCGTGTGAGTTTTGTTGGATTTGAGTCCCTCCAACTGAGGAGTCGTGATATTTAATGGCATTAATGTTAGACGTGAAAGACATAAACTAACATATCATATTGATGAGGGGTGGGGAGAGTTCCTCAAGAGAACAGCATAGGTCCAGGTCAAAAGCAGCAGTTTTAGCCTTTCATATGTTTATGGCTCTGTGATAAACACACTTTGACAGATCTTTCCATCAGATCACCATTAGGCCTGTCAATTCATGTTGCCCTGTCTTGGACAATTTACGACTCGTCAGACTCCAAAGCAGATTCTGTGCACTGAAGAAAATATTCAATAAAGTTTATTTAACAAAGTTCCAAATGAAAAACAATGCCTCTGCTCCTCAAAGGCTCGACCTTCACTGTGTATCAATCCCTCAAAGTTTTTGTCCTTACCTGGTCTTGACTTCTTGAAATCTCGATCTTGACTTATTCTCAGCTCCTCAAATGTGTGCCCTTGACTTGGGCTTGGCTGCTTAAATTCTTGTTCTTTTCTTGCTCAACCAAATCAAAGTTTTCATTTTGACTTGATTGAGACTCCTGAAAGTCTTTGTCTTGACTCATTTTGAACCCCTCAAAGCCTTTGCCTCAAAGTAGGTTTGATCCAAAGCCCTCAAGACTAGTCAAGACCAAATCTGCAGGGATAACAGTGCTTCCCCTATGAACTGTAAGATTTTGACTTTCATGGAGCTAATTACATGATATCAAACGCTCACTCTCTTGTTCTTGACTCCTTCTCGGCTCCTTGAAATCTTAAGTTTAACTTGGTTTTGTGTTGACTTGGCATAACCCCTTCAAGTCCCAAATTTGACTCAGTTTAAACCCCGCCAAGCCTTGGCTTTGACTAGGCCTCACCACCCCAAAATCTTGAACTTGGTCTCTGCTCCTTCAAGAATTTATCTTGACTTATGCTGATGTCAGACCACACAAATGTAGCCCGATTTTGAGCTATCCCTCAAAGTCTTGGTTGTGACTCAGTCTTGACCCCTCAAAGTCTTGGTACATTCACCCTGTATGATCGTGTCTTCATATTTGCAACTGTACAATTCTTGCTGACATCGCAGAAGTACACGTTTAACCGTTTCTTCCCTTTGCGTTTCTAGGTTTGATGGCCCACCACGGTGACCCGCATCCATGCGAGCACAAGTACTGTGGTCTGGGCCGTCGCTGTACCGTCAACCCGCAGACGGGCCAAGGGGAATGTAACTGTTTGAATCACTGCAAACCTCACTACAAGCCCGTGTGCGGGTCCGATGGGAAACTTTACCCCAACCACTGCGAGCTGCACCGCACTTCCTGCTCGGAACATCGCAGGATTACCATCGTTCATGGCGAAGAGTGTCTCTACAAAGGTAGGAGCTCATGTGACCTTTAGTGAAGTATGCTGGGATTTTGTGGATACTGTATGCAATGAATAGTAACCTTTACGGAGGCTGATGAGGATCCAATGTCCCGTTGCCTTTCCGGCTGGATTATAGAGAGATTTTCACTAATGCCGACAATATACCAACATGAGGTGCTTCAGAATTGTCCAGACAGTTCCATGCCGAAATGTCCTTGCTGAGCTCGACAACCAATGACATTGAAACTGCATCTATTAACTCGTTGAACACCTCAGGAGTTGTTTGGAATTTGACCCAAATTTTGAGAAAGGAAAAATGAAACCATTTGATCACACTTGAAGTCATGCAATTCAAAATTTGGCTCCATTTTGAGGTGAAATATGCAAAGTCAAATGAAAGTGTCAGTGTTTCAACCACGAGTGCACCTGAATTCATACAAGTGAGATCGTATGTTTCAACCAACATACCATGCAAAAAAAAAAAAAAATTGGGTGGTGGGTGTGGGGTTGCCTCAAAGGTCATCACCATATGCTTGTCTCAATTGTTTTGCTGAGTTTTAATATGTCTATTGTGCTAAGGTAATACTTTATAGTTGTACAGCTATAAAAGGGTCCGGTTTGACCTCGGAACTTGACGAGAAGTTGACTTTTCAATGTAAAACAGAAACGTTACACTCAAAGAGCGACAGGCTTTGGAGCAACAACTGATCAGCAGCCAAATGTCAGTTGCTCCGCTCGTCTGTTTGGCAGCCTCCCAATCATCATTACTGGCTCCCCCTCTAATCTTTGGTACTGTCAGAAGTCGGTTCCAATTCCGGCATGCAGATAGAGAAAAGTGCAGACTGTGGGCCTTTCTGACTTATGGACTGAATAAAACGGCAACGCTCCAGTAAAGTTGATGATGTGATTTCACACACCGGTCAAAGGCATTTTTATGGGGCTTGCTGAAACAACACATTACAGGTTGACGTCTAACTGCAGTTAAAGTAGGAAATGACGAGACGTTGCACTTGTAACGTTAGATTAGCACAACGGTAAGTCTCTCGATATGAGCCGCCATTAATGGAACAAAGCGGCTGTCAATCAATCCAAATGTGAGGTGATGCTCACAGAGATGAAAACCTAAAGGCTAATGTTTCCATATCTGAGCAGCGGAGACAGCACCTCGGTCACTTAAGAGGATGGAAGACATTTTCATTTTGTGCAATGACTTTTAATGCCGTTATTCGGGTTTTTGTGTTTGAGGTCCAATCGTTCAACTTCACCGTCACGCTCGTACATGCGTATGATCATAAAAACTACAAGAATTGTCACCATGCCGTGTCATCCCTCTGTCTTGAATATGTCATTCAAATGTTGTAGCAACTGAGTCTAAAAATGTCAGAAATGAGTCTAAAATCTCCAATTCAAGCCAAAATGTTGAAAATAATAACATGGCCGCTTTAACGCAGACTTTCTCCGTCTTTTCAGGGATGGCTTTTTGAGACTTTGCTGTAAATCTCCTCATGATAGGCGTGTCTACCAAATTTAGTGTTGCTGAGTCAAACTGACTCTGACCTTGTGGACTTATAAAAAATTCGTCCATTATGGCAAGTCATCAAACTTCGCCGCCATGCTCTTATCAAATGCAATGAGGAGAAGTTCTCACAATTTAGAGGGATACCTCAAATATGTACGCATATGTCTAGAAGTCATTTAATAATGCAATATAACAACTCATTATTTTTCATGTACATTTAATTAATTTAAAAACAATGTTAAAAGTAAGATAGCTGGGTGCCATATTTATTAAACCCATCACTAGATAACTGTCACGTGTGTAAACATTGGACTAGACTGTACAATGATGCATACACACAACTATAGAGAATTATAAAGAATGAATCCATATTGTTTCGAGCCAAGACTATGAAATGAATCTATCGAGTGAGATTGTTGTTTTGATGTGAGAGATGACATAAAATACACTTTGGAGAACAAGTGAGTCAGAAAGTGCAGCAGACACAGTGCTCTTTTGCAAGCCACACACGCTGCAATTAATTTGTCCTCCTGCCTAGGATGGGTTATCGATTTTATCGATACCACTACTCATAACGATACTGCTTATCTATCCGGTCTCATAAAGGTATTCTTTTAGGTATTTTTTTGTTTTTGTTTAGAAAAACACCAACAACGAAATTATGAGAACTGAACACTGCTTGGGCGACTCGGGGGTCCAGTGATGAGCGCATTGACCTCATGGTGCAGAGGTCGTGGGTTCGATCCCGGCGCCGGCCTTCCTGTGTGGACTTTGCATGTTCTCCCCATGCCTGCGTGGGTTTTCTCCGGGTACTCCGGTTTCCTCCCACATTCCAAAAACATGCATGGCAGGCTGATTGAACACTCTAAATTGTCCCAAGGTGTGAGTGTGAGCACGGATGGTTGCTTGTCTCTATGTGCCCTGCGATTGGCTGGCAACTGGTTCAGGGTGTCCCCTGCCTACTGCCCAAAGACGGCTGGGATAGGCTCCAGCACGCCCCACAACCAATCAGAAAATGGATGGCTTAACACTGCTTTTTTTGTCAATGTACGATGACATCAATGTAAAATAAGTAAAAGAAAATTTGAACGTTTTATCAACAATTTTTTTTTTTTGTGTAAAAAGAAACTTGTGTTGAGGAGCAAGGTTGGAACATGCAGTTGGGCTGGAAAGAGCACTTGTGTGAAATGCATGTTTTCTATATGTTTTTGAGACTGCTTGTGTCCCCTCCCCCCGCCCCTGACATTTTAATGATCGATTGCCCTTGCGACAACGTGCAGTGAGCAGCAACGTTGCAACGTCATTCCTCCGTCCCTCTCGTCTCCAGGCATAACTACTCTAACCAAGATTAACCAAACATTTTTTAGTGTAACGTTTGCATTGATTGTAAATTGGTTAGTCGTGCCTAGAGTGAAATGCTCAGCTTCTACGTTCTTAGCAACAGAGCTATCCCAATGTAAAAGACGCCATCCAGCTCTGTGTGAGTATACGTTATTAAAACCTCACTCCTCGGAGCCTTGAAAGCCGCTGACGTTGGGCCCTGGGTTCCCAAGTTTTGAAGCTAAAGTAGGTGGTGCTCGGATGTCAGATTCACCGTCACCGATGATTATATGGCACGATGGACGTTTTTAAATAATACTACGTGTCGTTTTGTAATGTGATCACATAGCACTACATTGGCACAGGAAGGATTCACAGGTGCCTCGCGCACGGCAGTGGCGCGAGATTGCTCGTCTCCAATCGTGGAGGGTGGAGCTTATCGACACTGCAGATTTTAAAAATTGAGCCCCAGGGCTAGATTAATACCGGGGCTCGATACACATCCCTACAGTCCTACCTTGGCCGCATGAAGATGAGAGTGCTGCTTTAGTCCTTTGTCTCAGAGGCTTTACTTAGGAGCGCGTACTTGGGCTCCCATTATGGACATAACGCCCACAATGCCGCCACCGCAAATGGCATAAAGGTTGTGATGGCAATTAAGCTCCCACTTCTTGCTAATGAACAATACTCGGCATGGCATTTCTTTTTAATGTCACCTGCGTGGCATGTCTCCCGCCCAACTGTAAATCATTCCTTGTCTCAGAAATGTTCACTGAAATGTTCACGCGTGTGCCTGCTTGTTCTTATGTGCACATGGACGCTCGACTAAACTCAGTACACTTTTTGTAAGAATTATGGAATAACATGCCAGTGTGCACCTTGTTGGCTGTTTTTGGTAGACTCTGCACATTTTTGCTCTGCATGCTGGCATTGTTTTTCTTTGCGTCCTCGTCTTTGTACAATGTGTGTCTATTTTCCACCAGTAAATTACACACGTTATGTCCTATTGGACCCATCATGGACGAAATCGTGTATTGAAAATAAGGCCGTAAGATTGAAATGTATCAATTTGGAGGTCGATTTTTCAGCTCATGCTAAGTTGAAAAAGACTTCCTTTAATGTAATCTATCTTTCTCATGCAGTGCATCTCAAACTCTTTACATCAAGTACCACCTGAAATCTCCTGAGTGTTTATCAAAACCAAGACAAAGTTTATTTGTAAGCCACTGGAACATCATAGACAGTTAAACTGACATGACCTTGAATTTACAAAAAGTATATCCTTAAGCAATGGCTGAGAATCTACTACACAAAAAAGGTCTATAAAAATGTAACCTCAAAAACCAACAGCTCTTCAAGATGAAAGGCAATTGTACAGTATTTTACTTCAAAGGTAAATGCAACTGAACTGTACTGGGAGCTGGTGCCCACTCATGGCACACTTTGAGAATCATTGGTCTCCTATACGTGGTTCAAATTAATTAGCGATCAAACAAATATATCTAGAGCAACTTTATCTTTCAAGGAGCTTTTGAAACAGGTCAACATTATGAGAAAATGGATGCTTTGAACCAAAATATCAGACTTCCTGTTTCTTTTTGGTCTTGGTTTCTTGAGACTTGTTTTGAGGCTTTAGTCATGCTAGAGAGTACACCAAATTTCATGTTTTTAAATTGTGTTTGACTGTACAGCTTTCGGTCAAAGTTTTGAACCCCTGTAGCGCAATTTTTTTTTCCCCAATCCAAAATGTCCACAAGCACCTTGCAGCAAACACGGTTTTGATAACAGTACGTGCTGGTGCTCCCAATGCCTCAAACTGAATCCCTTCAAAAAATATAGATATATCTAAATGATCGTGACCAGATGAATAAATCATCATGTTTTAATCCGCAATGATGCAGATGTGCTTTGCCTCTATCATAGATACCCCACAGCCGTGTGTATTCGCAAACATAGAATGCCCAAAACAACACATTATGCGGAGAGCAAGACATTTGTACTGCGGCGTTTCTATGGGCTTTCCATATTCTCAGTCCCCCTCTGGTACTTTACATAGCCTGCAATCTAAAAGACATGCATAAATACATAAGGCGAGCTATTAACATACTACATGAGAGTGGAATCCCAGATGGAATATTATGTTGAAAGGACGGAGGCGTTTAGCATCCGAG